TGTGTGTGTGTGTGTGTATATATATATATATATATAGTGGCTATTATCTGAGTCCAGAGTTTTGTTCTTAGTCTTACTACTAACTTTATTTTGTGAGCTTGGACCAGGTATTTCCCTGCCTAGGTCTCAGTTGCTTCATTTGTAAAACAAAGGGTTTAGATTAGGTCAATAGCTGAAGACCCAACCAGTTATGACATTCACTGGTTAGTGACTTACTCACTCTCTGCCCTTGAGTGAGGGACCCCTCCTTGGGTTTCCGAAGCCGTATCTCTATGGAACTAGATTGCCGGATCTTCCTTCCAAGGAGTGGCTGGTGGATTTGAACCATGAGCTTTCTGGTTAGCCATCAGATGCCTTAGCCACTACACTACCAGAGCTCCCAAGTGACTTATAGCTGCTTATTTGCACAAGATAAATTACCTCTCTTCTCCCTTTTTCTGACTTACTTAAGCTGATGTTCCAAAAACAAAAACAAAACCTCACTGCCATCAAGTTGATTCCAACTCATAGTGACCCCCACTGGGTTTCCAAAGCTATAAATCTTTATGGAAGTAGATTGCTTCATCTTTCTTCCATGAGTGGCTGGTGGGTTCAAACCACCAACCTTTTAGTTAGCAGGCAAATTCCTTAACCACTATACCTACCAGAGCTCCTTGCTGACATACTAAAGCTGAATTTTATTTGGAAAATAGAGGAGATATGGATGCAGGTCAAATTTCTGATTATACTCACCAGTTACTTGGGTGCTCCTCTCTCTGCAGAGACAAGGCCAGTATGATGCACCCCCAGGAGCCAGCAGCATTCTGGGACTTGAAGCATCTGGATACGTGGCGGAGCTGGGACCTGGCTGCCAGGGGCACTGGAAACCAGGAGACTCAGCTATGGCTCTGCTGCCTGGCGGGGGCCAGGCTCAGTATGTCACTGTCCCTGAAGGGCTCCTCATGCCCATCCCAGTAGGACTGACCCTGACCCAAGCTGCAGCCATCCCAGAAGCCTGGCTCACCGCCTTCCAGCTGTTACATTTCTCGGGTGAGGAAGCCCCCCACACTCACTCCATTAAGTGTGGCTCAATTCTTCCATAACTATGCCCTCTCAACCCCAGCAGGACAACTTTGGCTATCTACAGTAAGCCCCAGCACCTCACCCTACTGTACAATCAGTAGTATCAGGTCCTCAAACCATGTTAGCAACGGCTTGCTGTTGAGGATGAAAATCCCAGTTAGCAGATAGAAGACCTGCAAGGCATTGGATAGAAGGCATGTGCACATCTTCACACTGTAGGCTCAGCATTAGTCTCGCTTCTAAAAGTCAGCTGAGCTTCTCTCTGGGAGTCCAAGCACAGAAAAGGTGTCATTTTATCAACTCATTTATCCCTCCCCAAGCCCACTGAGACCAATCAAGAGGTCACATGAGGGAGCCTAAGGAGACCAGGCCCCTGCCTCTAGGGAGCTCAGGGTAACTAGGAAGATAAGATATATACATAGGAATTTCACAGGGAACAATTAGACAACCATAGAGTTAGAAAGAGTGGTTCCATCTCTAACAACAGCAGAAGCTGAAGATGAGAAAGTCAGTGTGGACAAGGGTAGTCAGGACTTCCCAAAAGAGCAGGAGTTGAAGGATGGGTAGAGTCGTGACGGACAGAAGGCCTGCCAAACATCACGGGTGACACAAAAAAGAATGTCAAGATAAAATGGGCTACTCTGCTCAGGAGTGAAGGATGACTGTTGTAATTTGTGAGAAACGAGTTTAGGACCAGAGTGTGGTGGCCTTGTATGCCAGGCTGTCTGGACTTGATGCAGAAGCCAATAGTGAACCACCTTACATGTTGAGTGGGAAGTGACATAATGAAGGCCCCATTTTTGGAGAAGTCTGGTGGCTATGTGTGCTTCTTGGGGGTGATAAGGAGATAAATGGGTGAATGAGAGCAGCTAGAGGCCAGATTCAGACTGCAGAGGGCGTAGCTTCAGGAGGTGACAGTAAGAATGGTGGTTATTCATATGTATAGCAGAGATATGCATTTTGGTGTCATTTCATAAGTAAAACAGAGATATGGTTATAACTGCTATTCTTGTTTTAAAGGGTGTTTTCTACTTTGACTAAAGGCAATAAGGCAAAAGTAAACCTGCCAATAGAGACAAAAAGGAAATTAAGAGAGCAAGATATTTGGCATTTGGTTGTCCTGGGACCAGGTGATAATGGTAGAATATACCTATGTGGGGAACATGTAGCAATTGCAAAGTAAAGAGTATTGTTCCTGTGCTTTCTATCATAGGAAATGTTCAGGCTGGAGACTCTGTGCTAATCCACGCAGGGTCAAGTGGAGTGGGTACAGCTGCCATCCAACTCACCCGGATGGCAGGAGCTATTCCTCTGGTCACAGCTGGCTCCCAGCATAAGCTTCAAATGGCAGAAAAGCTTGGAGCAGCTGCTGGATTCAATTACAAAGAAGATGACTTTTCTGAAGCAACACTGAAATTCACCAGAGGTAAACTAAACAACTGCTTCTGTAGCTCAGAAATAATGTCAGAGATGATGTTAAATCCTCACCAGCCTCAATGTTGCCAGTGCTCTGGATTGGTCTAGTCTCTGCTAAATGCGTAACAGTTGGCCTGGTCAAGTTCTAGTATTCTGGGGTTTGAGCACTGGAGACAGGCAGTAGTCAATAATTAGAACTGAGATAATTTCCATGTGCATTCTTGCAAGTGATATAATTCATACACATTTTAGAAGCTGGAGAATTACAAAGAGTTGGCTTGGAATTATTCAAGTTCTCTCCTTCCCAATCAGCCACTTCACAGTGAATTAACAGGAGGCTTGAGGCACAAATTTGGAGTTGGACCTAGTAGGACTGGAGTAGCAGAAGATAAATGGGTGCATGCCTCTGCATTCCAAAGCCAAATATGTATATTTTTGGCTCATCTCTTTCAATTTTTCATATGAGTAGACAATCCTGTCCAGATACTTCATAACTTAGATATGAACAACCTGCCCTGTAGCCTGAGTAGACTTTCCCTGTTCTGTTCTTATTCATACCTGGGTGCTAATGCATACTGTACTTAAGTGATTGTAAGGGGAAACACCAGGTCATGATATCACCCATTATCTCTTGCTCCTCTTTTCTGACTAACCAAAACCAAAACCAAATCCGCCACCATTGTCGATTCCATCTCATAGCAACTCTGTAACACAAAGTAGAACTGCCCCACAGGGCTTCCAAGGCTATAAATCTTTATGGAAGCAAACTGTCACATCTTTCTCCCATAGAGTGGCTGGTGGGTTTGAACCACCAATCTTTAGGTTGGCAACTGTTTTAACTACTGTGCTACCAGGGCACCTATCCTCTTGTGACTAGGGATCATAAAAGATGAAACCATTCGCACATGCTATGATAGAGTTCAGCTACTTAAACTGCATTTACAAGGTTTCCATGCTAGTTCTAACCTATAAATTTATCACTTGCACCTGTGCTTACTTATACCCATCTATCTATTCACAAATAAAGCATGGAGTCTTATTTTATACTGAGTTTTCTGGGCCTGACTGGCATCACAAATCTGTTTCATGTGAAAGGTGCTGGAGTCAATCTCATTCTAGACTGCATAGGTGGATCCTACTGGGAGAAGAATGTCAACTGCCTGGCTCTTGATGGTCACTGGGTTCTCTATGGTCTGATGGGAGGAGCTACCATCTCTGGGCCTCTGTTGTGGAAGCTACTTTTTAAACGAGGAAGTCTAATCACCACTCTGTTAAGACCTAGAGACAAAAAGGTAATTGATGAGGGAAAAGAAAACATGTCATTTCATTTACATAAGTGTGAGAAAGGAAGCTCTGTCATAAGGTTAGGGAGCTTATGTAGAAACCTTCCCCCCTGTGGATATAGATGTAGCCTGGTTTCAGAGAACAAATTAGAGGTGATGGACAGAAGCCTCAGCATCTTGGAAAGAGGGGAGCTCTGGTAGCATAGTGCCTAAGGCACTTGACTGCTAACCAGAAGGCTGGCCATTCAAACCCACCAGCCACTCCTTGGAAGGAAGGTTGGGCAATCTACTTCCGTAGTGATACTGCCTCAGAAACCCAAGGAGGGCCGACTTGACAGCACATAACAACAACAACACTTCATATATAATTTAAACTTTCTAACAGAATGAACAAAATATTGAGCATATTAGGAAGTTCCAAGACTCCTCAGCGTGATAAGAATGTAATACATTTTATGGAAATCTGTGTGGCACTCTGGCATGCACCAACTTTGGGAATGTTTCCCAATGTGGGTTTTCACATCTACTGGAGGATAACAGAGAAACCCTTTTGCACAGAGCCTATGGAAGTCCTGTCTGTGGCTGTCTCTTGCTTAAAGCTTTATTTAAAAACAGCCCTCTGGGTAAAGTAGCTTAAAGCTTTATTTAAAAACAGCCCTCTGGGTAAAGTAATTCATTCCCAGCTTCAATCCTTATCTGGTACAAACAGAGGTCATACACTTAGGGGCTGGCTAGGAAGTGAAGAGGGTACTCCTTATGTGTTTCTTTCAGATGTGTACCTGTTTCAAAGAGAAAAGAAAGGCAGAGCAGGATAAGGAGTTGCAGGGTAAGGCGTCTGTCCGGGCTGACGGGTTCCTTTTCCTTTTCTTAGTACAAGCAAATGCTGGTGAAGGCTTTCACAGAACAAGTTCTGCCTCACTTCTCCACGGAAGACCCCCAACGTCTGCTTCCCGTTCTGGATAGAGTTTACCCGATAACTGAAATCCAAGAGGCTCATGTGTACATGGAGACTAACAGGAATGTGGGCAAAATCGTTCTGAATCTGTCCCAGTGAAGGCAGAATCGGCAGTACAGAACACGGCCACCCCAGGCTTCCCAAGAGTGAACTTGAAGAAAATTCAGACAAGAGATCGTGTGCTATTCCCAGATCCACCTCTAAATCGCTGCCCCTTCTCGACCTTATCAACTGGTCCATGTTAAGTAGTCCTGAAGAAATAAAGAATGGAGTTAAGCATGGCGTGCTCACTGGAGTTCTGAGAGCGAGAACCAGTACTAATGGGCAGGAGTGACGTGGGAACTGGGACGGGTGTCAGTCCGACTAGGCGTAATATGGGGGAGGGACTATGGAAGGCCGGGGATCCGGAATAAGGGTACAGCGTCAGCCTCGACACAACCATCCAGAACCTCTGAACTCCGCCTTGTGCCTTGCCTGAAGCCCAGGTTCATCAACGAATTCCCAGAATCTCACTGGTCGCGTGCCGCGGCCTGGAACTTCAAGCCAAGCTCCGCCCCCTTTTCGCAACCCAAATGATCCCGGCACCACCTCTAGCCACCCTCCCCAGACCCTGCCCTCTCCGCTTAGCTCCCCCTACTTAGAGTCGCCAGAACAAGAACACTTCCTCTTCTTGAGGCTTGGCCCCACCCTTTCCGGCCTAGGGCCCGGAAGCATCTCTGACTCTATCCTTTCACCTTCCGGCCTCACATTTACCTAAGGCTCACTTAGCCAGGGCAATCCTTTCGAAAGGGGACGGATAGTACGTCAGCGCGTCTTGGCTCAAAACGACGACATTACAACGTTGTTTCAGCAGCTTCCGGCGAAGCTTGGATGTTGATGTCCTGCATCTGACACTGTTGCTCTCGAAGTAGAGCGAGCTCCGGAGCTGTCCAGAGGATTCCAGTATTTTGCTGCAGTAACTTCATCAGCCTGCCAAGATGGCGATGCAAGCGGCCAAGAGGGCGAACGTGAGTAGCGGGGCCTTCTGCGGAGGAGGGAGGGAGGGAGCAGGGGGTTCGCTGTTTGACTTTCTCAGCGGCGTGGATCCGACTATCTTTACTCCTCTGTCCCCTGGGCAAGGAAGCCCAGAATTATCTGTCTCTTCCGAGGGAATCCATGCTGTCCCGATCTTCAGGGGTGTATGCTCCTTGAGCCTCACGTGTGTCCTTTTGAAAAGGTCCTTCAGTCTCTAGCCTAGTGTTAGTGACAATGTTTCCCTTATAGCCTTTGTTGCTTGACCTGTATTTAGGACCTGGCATCAGGATCTTCTTCTCAACCTTGAAATTCATAGCATAGAGGAGTTCCCAGTAAATAATTTAATAGTTTACAGGAGACTAAAACTTAGGATTCTTAGGTCAAATAATTTTGATTCTTTTGTTAACTTATTAATTCGACAGTATTGAGCACCTATTATGTGCCAGGCTTGCGAGGTGGGAAACAATCCATCAATTATATTTACTGCATTTAATACGTGCCAGCCACTTATCTAGATATTGGACATACAACAGCGAATAAAACAAATAACCCTTGATCTATAGGTGCTTACATTCTAGTATTAGAAAGTGAGGTGTGGAAAACGTCTCAAGAAAGAGATAGTGGTGCTGTGAGGTATAATATGATGACAGATAATTGAACACTGGATATGGCTATGATGAGTTGGAAAATTTTGGTATGAGTCATTTCAGTGGAACTGTAGATGAGAATTTGGTTGCAGGGGGATGAAAACATGATGAAAGTTGAGGAAATGGAGAGAACAGATCATTTCTTTGCATGCATTTTCATGTAAATGGGAGTAAGGAAATTGGGTTACTGGATTAGGTGACTTAAAAAAAAGATGAGTAACATAAAGTGTATTGTGTTCCAATAGGAATGATCTGGTAGAGTGGGAGAAACTGATGATGTAGGGAAAAGATGTGTTAATTTTAGGAGTCACATAGATGTACTCATTTACTTTTGAGTAGATGAAGGGTTGGTATAGTAACACACTAAAAAACCAGTAGTTGCCTTCTGGTTGATTTTGACTCATGGTGACCCCATGTGTTTTAGGGTAGAACTGTACTTCATAGAGGTTTGTTTGTTTGTTTTTTCCTTTCCCTTTGCTGTGCCAGGTTCAAAAACCTTAAAAACATTCAGAGCTGGAGATTCCCATTTAGATGACTCACAGCCAGGCCACAAAGACTTTGTGTTATATTGCCATGGCTCCTACTTTTGAGAAGCCTGAGCAGCAGCTTCTGCCCCTACATCTGAATCTTGTTTATATAGTTTTCTAACTTAATCAGCTTTATATTGGTAGAGTTCATCTGAAATGCTTGGCTCCTCTTTCTCTAATTCCACTCATTTTTCTGAATTGTGTCCAGCAGTTCCTCAATATCTTATTTCTTTAATTCTTTTAGGAAGCTATATCTTAATTCATCCAGACTTTTTTAGGTGGCTTCACTGGAAGAGTTGGTCCAAACTAGAAAATAGAAGTCTCACTTATTCTTTGAACATTTATTAAAAGTTAGCATTTTTATCTATAATTGTATTTTTCTTGTTCTCTCTATAGATAAATAGATATATGTTGTTGTGTGCCTTTCTAGTCCATAGCATTTTCAGTGGCTTTGATCCTTTGCCGGAAGATGGCCACCATAGTAATAAGAGAGAGGGAAAGTGGGAAGATGTGGATAAATGTAAGTTGGTAAGTTTAGTGATAGGAATATATGTACTTACTATTGGGTTGCTGTGAGTTGGAATTGACTCGGAAAGGGATTTGGTTGGTTGGTTATTTGTTTGTGTTTTTTTAACCATTTGGTCATATCTATTTTCTCCAAGAAGTAAGTGCCAACATCATTTACACGGATGGGCAGGGAAAAGGATACAACCCAACAAAGGTATTGGAAGGAGTGGTAATAGTACAGTTTTAAGAGAGAAGGTATCTTTGATATAGTGTCTTACAGTGAGAAAATGAATTTACTAGAGAAATGTGTTCGGATTGTCTGGCAGTACTGATTGCCCATTTGAACTTAACCTTGAATTATAATATATAAAACTTTTCTTGTACTTATTTGCTTATTAGTTGTCACTACTACTTGTAACTTTTTTTTTTTAATTAAAAATTAAATAATTCTTGAGCAAATTGATGTTCAGTATCTAATCTAATTGAACATGTTAATTGGGAGCACAGGAGTAAGATCTAGATTGAAGACAGACATTTGAGAGTCATCAACTTACTGTGAAAACTATGGATGTGGTTAAGAGCCCAGTCAAACAGTGTAAAGAGTTAAGGGGACCATATTTGGGTTAAGAAAAGAAGTCTATAAAGATAAAACCCTATGCAAAAGCATATTTTAATTGCATGGAAGACTGATAAGAAATAACTACAGAGTTACAAGGAAACCAAGAAAATAGGGTGTTGCAAGAAGAACTAGTAAATGGTATTAGAAATCTCAGAAAGGCTAACTTAGTATGATGAGGACTGAAGTTGGCAATTAAAAGGCTATGAGTAAAAGACCTGGCAATCTGCTCCCTTAAAGATTACAGTTTGGGAAACCCTATGGAGCAGTTCTACTCTGTTCTGTAATGTCACTGTGAGTTAGAATCAACTCTGTGGCACACAACATCAACAAGTGAGTAAGAAGGAGCCCTGGTGGTACAGTGGTTAAGTGCTCGGCTGCTAACTGGTTGGCAGTTCAGGCCCACCCAGCAGTTCCATGAGAGAAAGATCTGCCAATCCGTTCCTATAAAGATTACAATCTAGAAAACCCTTTGGGGCAGTTCTGTATTACATGGGGTCACTATGAGTCGAAAATCGACTCAGTGGAAACCTAACAACAGCAGCAACAGTGAGTAAGAGCAGTATCAGCATAGAACTAGTGTGGAAGCCAGATTGTGATAGGATAACTACTGTCTGTGGCAAAAAATAGGAGGCAGTGAGTATAGGCTTATTCTTTCCAGAAGCTTGAGTGAGGGAACAAGAAAAAAGAGCAAGAATTAGAGGGAATTAGAGGGAGCTGTTCAG